CAGTAAACCTCTCTTTGCTTGACATAATAGTGGAAGCAAAATTTGATGGTGACTTTTTGCTCCAGTCATACACCCTCTCTTACTCTTCACAAGCTATACACTAACAACAGTACATTTGAAAATAACTGTCTGAACCCTATTGCTGTGTAATTTGTTCTTATATCATAGTACTAGCTGTTATTATATATTGAGATATTTGTTGCTTTATTCAGTTAGGAAAATTTAATGAGACATAGCAACCTTTTTTAATATTGAGTGCTTATTTACTAATATATAATAGATATCGAATATTATCCATTTAGTTGGTCTATCAATTAAGATAAGAAAAGCAGTTTATTAATTAATTCTGTATTATTATCTACCCTCATATAATAACAATAAAAATAAAATTGTTTTTGGGAACTGTGCAGTATAAAATATAATAATAAGTAATTCTGAAGCAAACTCACATTTTTTCTAACTCATTTCAGGTTATAAAGAAACAATTACAACTTAATTACAACAATGATGACCCGCAAAGCTGCAGCTCAATGCACAGAGCTCCAACTGAGGCATGCTCTTGAAGAACTCAAGCATGCAAAGGAGACTTGTAGTCAGCTACTTCAAGAACGTGAGGAGAATGAAGAAGAAATTAGAAAGGTCATAGACAGGAACACGCAGCTTAAGTGTGAACTATCGCATCTTCATACTGAACACATAGAAGTCCAACTACAACGAGACAATTTGAATGATACCATCAGCCACTATGATGAGCAGTTCAGCACTTATGAGAGGGCTCTGCAACGCATCACTGACCTTGAGAAGGAGCTAAGTGCAGCAAATACCCAAATAGCGCATTTTATGGAAGCTCAGCAGCTTCAAGAGTCAGCACATACCCAAAGTCTTTATGAGGAACTGATGGCATCACCCGGAGGACCTCTAATGCAGTGCCAGCAGCCCATCTATTCTAAATGTAACTCTAACCCCTGTGTAAATGATTTGAATTCTGACAATTCATGTCAATGTTCTGCCGGGAAGGGACTTGTTAAGCTTAGTAAGAACAAATTAAAAAGATATGTTAAAGTCAGAAGGTATATTTTAAAAACTAGGAAACTTATAAATAAAGAAAAAACATTTTAACAACACAGTTACTACAAAAATTAGATATTTGCCGTTCCATAATTGAAGAAAATAGATTAACATATGAACAAAATATGGAGTCATTGAATATTAAGTTAAAAAGCCTTCAACAATCATTATCTAAAATGACTCAGAATTATAATAACTCAAAAAAACAGATAGATGAATACATTCTGGCCTTAAAGTGTCTATCTAACCCCTCCCTTCACGAAGACACACCTGTAAAGTGTCACTCTTTGGTATCGAATCAGAGCATTACTGAAGAAAATGACACTGATCCAGTATGTGAGTCCTTGATTAATAAATCTGTTCACTCAGAGACCACAATTAGATGTAATTCTTTTAAGCAGAGAAACTTTCATAAGTATATAATGTTATGTGACGAATTTGGTAAAGATCTGGGTTGCTTACTACAAAAACAGCTGGGTGAAAATACAATTAATTATTGTTTGCCAGGTGTCACAATGCACCAATTAATGAAGAAAATATTAACTCTTGAACTTGACAAAAATACAAGTTTAATTATTTTAATTGGTAATAGAGGTAATGTTGGCAAAAATGACATTATGACTTACTATAACTCTTTGTGTTCTCTAAATGTAAATAGAATAGTTATGTATACATTTCCTTATAGTAAGAGTCTATCAAGTGAAGAAAATAATATTAGGTACAGGCTAAATTTGACATTAAGTACCATGTCTCAGTATAGTGGTCAAAAAGTACATTTAATTGATATAAATAAATTAATATATAATTTTAAAATGACAAGAGATAAATATTATCTTTCATATTACCATAAGAGACAAATAGCTTCTTCGCTATTATTTTATTTTACACACATAGCCAAAAACTTGGCTAACACTACTGCTTCTATTGAGCAGCATAATTATGTGGATCAGACTTTGGAATTTGTTCCAAATACTGACATTAATTGTAATTTAAATTAGTTCGTAAGACAACAGAGGAGCTCTCTAGCTATATCAAGACCAAGGAAAAGTCTAAATTTCTAAATATTGTTCACCAAAATATACAAGGCTTTTCTGGTAAAGACTTAGAACTATGCTTATTTTTAAATACAATGAATATAAACATTTTATGTATTACAGAGCACTGGCTCAGAAATTATGAATTAGTTACAGGCTTAGATAATTATACAGTTGTTAGTAGTTTTTGTAGGAAATCGGCTATCAGGGGAGGCTCTCTCATAATCTTACAGAATAATCTTAAATACAAAGAACGTGCAGATATTGTTTCACTTTCAGTTGAACGTAATGTTGAACTATCTTGCGTGGAACTGGAAGAAATGATCATAATATGTGTATATCGACCCCCATCTGGGAATTACACTCAATTTGAGTCCGCTATGGAAGACACTTTCAATATAGTATGTAAATGTAATAAAGTGGTTGTTGTGTGTGGTGATTTTAATATAAACATTTTAGTTAAGTGTCCATTAGTGAGTAGGTTTCTAAACTTATTTAGATCATATAACTTGAAGCATACCTTCTTTGAGCCTACCCGCATCACACATGCATCAGCAACCTGTTTGGATAATATTTTTTGTAATAGAAATGTTTTTAATAAATCAATAATAAATTGTATTAATTCTGATCATAGTGGACAATTAGCCTCTATTGAACACCATCATGCTTCACCCAAACATGACCTAACTTGTAGACCAATTACACAAACGGGTATAAATAAATTTCAAGATAACGTTTATCACAAAATATCGAACTTACCAGTTTGTAATAATAATAATATTTTGTATGAAGATTTATTCAATTTAATTAAAGATGAATTCAATAAAATATTTAAACGCAAATTAATTAAATGTCATAGCTCTAAAAAGAAATTTAGTGATTGGGCCACACCGGGTATTTACAAAAGTAGAAATAAGTTGTATCAATTATATGCTCTCAAGGCAACCTCATCTGATCCTAAGTTTATAGAATATGTCAAAAACTATTCAAAAACTTTTAAAAAGGTGTGTGCCATAGCAAAAACTAAGTTTTTATCTAAAAAAATTAGTCTTTCCGATAATAAAATAAAGACAACTTGGAATATAATTAATAATGAAACTGGAAGAAATAAATTTAATGAACATACATATTCTTTAAAAATAGACAATAAGATTATTAGGACAGATGATGCCGTTGCAAACACTTTTCAAAATTTCTTTTCTAGTGCACCATTTGAAACAACTAGAAATCTTAATTCTTGTTCTAGGTTAGCAATGACCCTCCTTGAGTCAAGTGTTGATAAGTGCAGTAATGATTTTCATTTTAGACATATCAGTAGTGATTGTATTATAAAAACTTTTAATTCAATTAAAATTAAAAAGACAGAGGATTATTGGGGAATATCAACATATATAATAAAACCGATTATCACTGTCATTGCGCCACAACTGGCCATTATATTTAACAAATGTATTGATGAGGGAGTGTTTCCAGATCTAATGAAATGTGCTAAAGTTATCCCTCTCTTTAAGGCTGGTGAGAAATCAGATCCCAGCAATTTTAGGCCTATATCTGTATTACCAGCGCTAAGTAAAGTATTTGAGAAAATAATTTATAACCAATTACTAGCACACTTTTCTATAAATAAGCTATTTCATTTAAAACAGTTTGGTTTCACTAGAGGCAAAAGTACTACTGATGCTGGAACTGCACTTCTCAAACACATCTTTGATATATGGGAGAGTAAGCACGATGCTATTGGCATTTTTTGCGATTTATCTAAGGCATTTGACTGCGTTAGCCATGAAACATTGTTAAATAAAATGAAGCATTATGGTGTATCAAATATTTCACTAAGTCTGATACAGTCTTATCTTTCTGCTAGGATTCAGAAAGTGGTTATAAATCAAGCTGAGTCTACAGGAGCACCCATTTCTATGGGCGTGCCCCAGGGTTCAATATTGGGCCCATTGCTTTTCCTTATTTATATTAATGACCTTCCTCACTTTACAAGAGATTTGTGTGAGACAGTACTATTTGCTGATGACACCTCTTTAGTGTTTAAAGCTAGGAGAGGAAATGATTGTTATGACGAAGTAAATTGTGCTCTCTCTGAAGTCCCACACTGGTTTACGGTAAATAATTTAAAACTAAACTCTAGTAAAACAAAATGTGTTAAGTTTATTTTACCTAATGTGAGGCAGGTTAATACTAGTTTAAAAATAAATGACCAGCCTGTAGAGTTAGTGGATTCTACAAAGTTTCTGGGTATTACTTTAGACTCGCATTTGCAATGGGATCCTCATATTGATGCCTTATCAAGTAGACTGAGCTCTGCGGCTTTTGCTGTTAAAAAAATAAGACTTCTAACTGATGTGGAAACGGCAAGATTGGTTTACTTTGGTTACTTTCATAGCGTTATGTCATATGGCCTTTTGTTGTGGGGCTCAGCTGCTAATATAGAAAGTATTTTCGTACTGCAAAAGAGAGCTGTTCGCGCCATATATAATTTAAAGGCAAGAGAATCTCTTAGAGAAAAATTTAAAGAAATTAATATTTTAACACTGGCATCGCAATACATTTATGAAAATTTAGTATATGTAAGAAAAAACTATGACGCATTTTCAAAAAAAAGTCAAACCCATAACTTTAACACGAGATATAATAACAAACTTGCCGTTCCATGTTTCAGACTCCAAAAATCAAGAGGTTCATTTCTGGGATGTAGTATTGCATTGTTTAACAAAGTTCCCCAAGATCTGATTGAGCTTCCACTAACCAAATTTAAATCTCAGATTAAGAATACTCTTATGAATAAGGGCTATTATAAAGTTAATGATTATCTAAATGATCGAAATGCATGGACATAGTGTTTCTTGTAATTTGTTATTTGATGGGTATGAGTCAGTTTTTGAAACAGTAATATGGTACCTATCTAATGCCGCTTCCTATATACTAAATATAAAATTTATTGTAACTATATATCTATATCCTTAATAATGTAATGGAAGGTGACTTCAGATGTATCTCTGAAATCATTTTTCAACTTGACGACTCTGTATATATCAATACAGGGAGAAAAAAGCAGCCCTTGCTGAGTTTCTTGCCGGTTCTTCTCAGTACAAGGTCTCCCGCCGTAGTTTTGCGAACCGATGGCGTAGCTTCTTGACCTTCACAAGTGCTTGTAACAGCCTAGACTGAATAAATGACTTTTCATTTCATTTCATTTCATATGTAATCGCAAAGTTCAAGTTTTGTATCTAAGGGCCTGTGAAAAATTCGCCATTTATTGGCCATAATGCCAAATGTACATTCAACTGTTTTTCTGGCACACGAAAGTCGGTAGTTATAAATCTTTTCTTTAATAGATATGTTTCTGCTTGGGTATGGTCTCATCAAATGTTTTAAAAGTGGAAAAGCTTCATCCCCGACAAATACAAATGGCATTTCAGATCCTTCATTATCATTTGGTAGTACTGAGCATGGTGGTAAATCCAATTGGTTTGTTAAAAGTCTTTTACCAAAATTTGAATTTCGGAATACGCTGGCGTCACTATTGGATCCGTAGGCACCCACGTCAATAGCTACGAAGCTATAGTTAGCATCGGCAACAGCAAGCAGAATAATTGAATAAAACTTCTTGTAATTAAATGACTCTGAGCCGGTATAATCAGGTCTTTCGATTCTTATGTGCTTGCCGTCAATCGCGCCAACACAATTTGGAAAGTGTGTTTGTATGAAAAACTCTCGTGCTATGTTTAACCAGTCTTCTTTTGTCATTTCTTTCAAATAAGTAGGCTGCAAATATAACCACAAGTGCTTGCACGTATGATGGATAATTTCACTGATAGTCGTAGCGCCAATCAGGTATTCAAAATACAACGACTTTATGCTATTTCCCGTAGCAAGGTATCTGTGAACAAGATTTTCATTTTGTTTATTTGGTTTCAGGGAACTCCATACAAAAAAAATGGAAAAACATGAAAGATTGTTTCGCTAAAGAATTGACAGCACAACAAGGCAAATCTGGACAAGCTGCCCCTTCAAAGAAAAATAAATATATTCATTTCGATTCAATGCTTTTTCTAATTCCTTCCATGCAGAAACGAGAAACGAGCGGTAATCTATCGTCGCCTAATTCTACTCAGGATGCAAATACATCATCGGATTTTTCTACTCAGGATATAACATTGTCTACTACAGCTCAGAATTCACAACTAACTAATAACAATAGAACACCACTGCGAAAGAAGAACTGTTCTCGAGACAACAACAATTCAACAGAAATAGACAAACAATTACTTGATATATTAAAAGACAAACAAGCACAGGAAGAAGAGGACGAAGAAAAAAACTTCGCGCTTATGTTAGTTCCTATGTTACGTAGATTAAATGAAGACCAAAAACATTATGCGAAGATTGAAATCCTTAATGTCTTAAAAAAAGCACGTACTCATCCATCTCCGCAACCACTAGGACAACACGTTATCAACCAACCAGCTCAATTTCGAGGACCAAAAATAACTAGTTCACCATTGTATCATCAAACATATACCCAGCCACAAAACCCCTATCACTATCAGTATTCTCCACAATCCTCATCGATGGATACAATATATTCCATTCAATCACCATCACCAACAATGCCTCCACCAAGCCCATCTCCACAGTTATCAACTACAATTCAGCAAGCACCGGCTATACATCCAACGATGCCGCAAAATCAGATACAAATTATCGACCAACAAATTTTGAAACCAGCCAATGAGACTGCCGATTATTTGACAAAATTTGTAAATCAGTTAGAAGACCAAGACTATGCCTAAGAGTAACTAGAAAAATTGGTTACATAATTATATTTTAATTTACTTGTTGCGAAATAAAACTTTAAAAAAATTAAAATTGTTTTCTTACCTTAACGTAACTGAAAGTCGCTCTTCAGGTGATATTGCATTACGAAATGAAGTGTCTTCAAATTTTAGATACTGGCCCACGTCATGTAATAATTTATCAAAAGTGCCAATCGACATTCTGTAGTAATTAAAAAACTTATCGGGATGTTGACGCACGTTGTTGTACATTTTGCAAAAGTATCCTTTCAAATGTCTATGATCAGTTAGTGGATGTACCCAGTACCTATGGCGGCGGCGTTGTTTATGCTTTCTATTTTTTAATTTCAACATCAAAGCTACAACACATGCTGCTCGCCAGAAATCCATGGTGAAATGAAATAAATTTAAGTAAAACGCTAGCCGCAGTGCGTGTTGATGCCCGTTTTTGCGTTTTCAGCTTTTCCTAAACCGCGCGCGTTTAATCGCAGTGCGTGCTAAGCCTAAGTCGGCAATTTTTTGTCGGCGGGCTAGTCGGTGGCTTCACTGATTAGAAGTCGGAAAACACCTCGTGTCGCCGGGCAACTGAGCGCTTGCGTACGCAAGCCGCCGACAAGCTGCATGTGTCGGCGAGCAACACGCGTTGGCGCAGGTCGCCGACATGATTCATTTCATATAGGCCGCCGAGGCCACTTTAACACGACTATTGCGATTGTCATTCTATCAACGAGAAAACGTAACCAGGCAACTACTTTATTCTTTTCCGTGACAACGACACTATGCCGAAGATTTCCCGGTACGATATTTGGCTTTCAAATAGTATAAGGTTCAGTCATACAGCGGGCGGGACGGGACAGCAACGCGACGCTGGCGCGTTATAAAACAGTTGTAATGTTAGTTCGTGAATATTGATACAACTCCACTTATAACATAAACAAGTACTTATTTGAAATCCTTGTTATTGTGTTTGCTGATATAATTCGAGTTGAATCAATTATCACGTAAGGATACGTGTTAAGTGATACAACTTACTTATATCAAAAAAGTATTAATATAAAGACTTAAATAAATTACATTTGATGGTGTAAATTGATAGAACTGGCCCATTGCGCTTGCAACCGCCCTCTCCTCCTCATACCCCTATCCCGCGCCTGCATAGACACGGCTGTATGCAGGCTCATTTCAGCGCCGACGATCCTGCGCATCGGCCGCGTACTTCCGCGCCGAGCAAGGATGAAGCGAAACGTGAGTTGTAGCAGTTTACACCAATGATTTCCACGTAATGATTGAGTAAAACCTGACGTTTGCTACTTTTAATAAAAGTTATTTTCATTATTTATTTAGGTATAGAGTATCAGTTCAGTGTATCTACATGCCGCTCTTTATACGTATTTCCTGATAGAATTCATTAGGATATTATTATAATAAAATTTATTTTTAATACTGTATAATATAAGTTTTGATTACGCTTGTTTTATGCTGCAACTATATACTATAATAGGATGCTAGTTATTCCTCCTTGACATGAATGGGTTTTGAATCCAGGACTTTGTAAGTGGTAATTCGATTATTTAAATATATCGTACTACTTTCTGGTTTTTAATTTCAAGGGTTGCATTATTATATAAAATAGAATTTCTAACTTAGCGTATGTTACCCTTTAAAATATATTTGATAAAAGTATTTTTTGTGGTCTTTTAATTTTTTTATTAAGTATAGTAAAACAAGCAACTGTATACTATATTACTCGATGTTAAATGTAAATATGTCGTTTGCGCTAATTATTTATATAAGCTTACAGCTTTTTTCAATACAACAAATTATAACCGAAATACAAGTCAGTGGGTGTGCCGACGATTCATGAATTTACTAGTTACAGTTTTTCTTAGTTTGTATCTGGTTGAATGTTGTGAATATTTAGTTACGGAAATAGAATAGTTCATCATTCATTCTGGCGGTAACTAACGTAGTGTAACACTAATGCTTTAGCTATTTACCAACATTGGCTTTGAATGATGTTTTCTATTACAGTTGGCTGCAAAAGCACGCTTGAATAAAATAATGGCTTCTGACGTGGATAAGGAAAATAAATTTTAAATTAAAAAAAAAAATACGACGCAATATTACTACGGAGACGAGTGGGAGTGAAAATGATATTATTTGTGGACAAGAAATATTCCAAAGCAATAAAATATTAAATAATCAAAACCAAAACAAAATAATAAATGATAATGAGAGAAATATGGAGAACAACAATAATAATATTGAAACCGGAAGTACAACCGAGGAGAGAAGTAAGGAGATAGTAAATAGCGATCAAAAATATTACAACTGATACTATCGAGAGCGCAAAAGAGAATATAGAACAAAATTATAACGATTATGTAGATAGTATTATGAATAATGAGATTATATCGGAGCGGGATGATTTTAGTTCTGGAAGTAGTGACTAATATATTCCTAATAGCGAAACCACTAGTGATAGCTCAGTGGCAAACTTGCGGACAAATAATAAGTCAAAAAAGCCTATTAGCGTATCCGAAAGTCTAGTACTGCCAATTCATCGAGTGAAGAGTGGTCTAGCTCTAGCACAGAGAGTTTAATGGAAACTGTTCAGCCGTCAGAAGAACAAAAGAGCCTGGCACTTCACGTCCGAATATTAAAAGAAAGATACGAAAATCATTAAAGGAAAGAAGAAAGAAGGAACAGAATGATTTTACGCAATTCAGGGAAGTGCTATATTACTAATTTAGGAAAATAAAACCAGGCAGAAATTCTTACAGATTGCAGAATGAAGTGTAATAACAGAATCGCACATGAAATAAGGGAACATACTTTTAAAGAATATTGGAGCTTAGGCTCATATAACGAAAGAGCTAAATATAGGTACGAGCATCAGTCATGAACAGTTCACCAGTGATGGACAATTGAAATAACTTCTATAAAAATAACCAAACTTGAGAGAATAATGAATTTAAAAAAAAAGTGCTATATTTTTAATATAAATTAATATTTCATTTTATTTTTTGTAGGCGGAATGTATCACTTGCAAAAAAAGTGATGTATTGAAGAGGTTTAATGAGTGTTCGATGTGCCATAACAGAATTCACATATCTGACGAATGCTCAGTTGTTGTTAATTCAGGAGATGAGTTAAGTGAGAAAAGTGTGTGCAAATCTTGTAGCACAATAGACGAAAAGTCTATTAAAACGTGATTTCTCTAAATGCAGAAGAGAATTGGATGGGTCAGAACGAAAAGTCAAAAAAGCAGCAAAAAAAAGCTAGATACATCAATGGCGATTTCAATTATAACGATTTTGAACTTAACACATTGTCGAAACATGGAAATTTTCCACTTCTGTTAAATGGAAACCAGAACAGTCTAAAACCTGTAATGATTGATAAGCACAACTATATAGTACGCAACACATGTGCTTTTGATGCATTCACACAACTTGTCATCGTTGTACAGTACGATTTTTCGATATATGACTCTGTTCTTGAGGCTCTCGAAAACGTGAACGAGGAACCTGTTAACCAACTGTTTTTACGGATGTTCTCGCATGTGCTTACTGATCAAAAAGTTACGCGTGAAACGTACATGCGGCGATGTAAGATTCTGAGAAAAATGGCTTCTTCACAACACAAGTATTATGGAGAAATCATTACTGAAGTAATGTGCACAATCAATGTAGGCATTGTAGCACAATCAATGATGGATGGAATACCAAGTGTTATCTACGAAACTTCCTGCACTGATTGTTCTTTTGAAAAAAATTCTGATAACACTATGATTACTATTACCGACTCAGATTTGCTTGATAGTGAATTTAATTCGAGGATGGAAGAAGTACTCCTAGGATGTTTACAGGATGCACCTTCTCGTCACGGTTGGTTGGTTGGTTGGTCAATGGTACAGAATTATCCACATTACAATTTGTTTTGATACTTGTCAAACTTACTTCTGTAATAATAAGTGAAATTAGATAAAATTATTTTTTTATTCATGTAGGAAATGCACTTCTCATCAACATTGAACAGAGCGGGTACCAACCAAGGAGAGTACCACCAGTACCAGTACCAGTAGTTTTCAACCCCCTACCTCTTTATCGACAAAAACATGAATAGAAAGGATTTTAAAAATGAAATAGTAATGTCGTTGTCAATAAAAAATATAATGCAACTTACTTTTAAATTTTAGAGTAATGTGCAACTTAAAACCACCTTTAATTTCATCCCTCATCCGTCAAACTATGAAAATATGAAGAAGTATGACAATTTTCACGGATTGACGGATGGGGGTTGAAATAAAGGGTGGGTTTGAGTTGCACATTACTCTGAAACTCAAATAAGAGAAAAAGAAAATGGCATTGCTATTTCATTTTTAAAATCCTTTCTTTTCATGTTTTTGCCGATAAAGGGGTAGGGGGTTGAAAATCGGGGTTGGGATGTTGTTAATTTTGTTGTCCTTAATTAGCTCGAAATTTTGATGTATATAAACTATGTGTTTTAAACATTAAAACGCAGTGGGGGTGCTAACTTAATTCCCAGTTAGTACCCCCATTGAAAAATTCGAATATCTCGAACTAGGGGGTGGTCGGAAATTTTTTTCTTGTAGTCCTAAATTATCCTTAATTAGTTCGAAATTTTCACCGTTTTACTTTTTTTTTCGAAAGTGGGGGTGCCAACTATATAACCATCATTATTTCATCTTTCTTAAATGAATATTACAATCATCTTCATCTTTATTGTATCTTTTGTAAGAGGTTTATTAGGTGCAAGGATAGAAACCAGGAGAGGTCCAATATCAGGTAGTTGGATTCTTCATCATAATCTTTTAGATACAACTATTTCACAACTCCCAATAAATTTCTTGGGAGATCCTGTTATTCTAGGTAACAAGAGTCAAACATTATGCACTTTATCACAAATGCTTAAAACTGGGATAACTGTTGTCCTGTTGCTGTGCATTGCGATTTCTGTGAAAACTTTGAGTGCAAAATGGCAGAGGAAATCCAATCAATGCTTTTTGGTGCCAGCAGAGTTCAGGTCACTATATATAATGGTGTAATATTTTTCAAAGGCGGACAAAAATCTTTTTGTACTGTCTCATCTTCTAATATTTATCAGCTACTCACTTCAACTCCACTCAGCACCTCACTGGTTTTAGCCAGTGTCAGCCAATTTCAGCCGCTTCAATAACTGGCTTCGCCTTTTGCGCGCCACTGCGCGAGTTATTCAAGCAGTGCAAGTTTTTAAGAGCGCTCTTTCTCGCCAACGACGGCGATCGCGTCGACGTGCTACGGTATCCTCCTCTCTACCGGGCGCTGTTTCCACTGCTGTTGTCCCTCTAACAGCAGACCATATAGAAGCCACAGAGAGGCAAGAGTAGATACAGAAAAATGGTTTCAAAGAAAAGATGTGAATCAAGTATTTGTTAAAAGGGGAGAAAGCTCCTAAAGTAGAGTTTAACACCAATAAGATTCAAATACATATCTAAAGTGGCACAAGCTTTATTAACAAAAAGCTTAGGGAACGTTGAACCAGTTGATACATGCCGCCCTGCATTCTCGGTTATGAGAAAGAGGTCATTTCGGAGAGTTTCCAAATTATTTGCGCACAGGTAAATCCAGTCAGAAAACTAAGGATCAGGTTTTTAGACCAGGGTCGATAATTTTAAAAATGGTGAAAAGTGAAAAAAAAATATAGTAGGATGAAACCCATTAGAAAAGGTAGAGAATATAACAAAAATGAAAGGAAAAATAAATTACGGGCGATCTGAGGTCGGGAAGGGGGAGGGGGTGAGTTTTTAAGGGTAAAAAATGGTTAATCTCGATTTCCGGTAAAACTGCAAGTCCTATGAAAAAATTTTCAATATTTAATCTAATTTTCAATCGAAAATTCTCACGTCAAAATATCTGCTTTTTTAAAAAAGTTGGGGTGTTTTTTGTTTGTTGAAATCTCTACTTTCTGATGGTATAAAAAAAATACACACTACTATGATAAATGTTCTCAGAAAATGCAAATTAATAATGAAAAAAACTCGAATCCGAAAATCCTATTTTTAATACCTTCTTACAACAACTATTTTTGCATGTTTTATGGATTTGTAATTTTTTTGTTTATCAATATAACATGAAATCTTACGTTTTTCGAGTAATTAAAGTGTAAATTTTAATAAATAGTTCAAAATCTATACATATAATAAAACAGTAGGACCCGGTGTGTCTGTACATTGAAGATAATTGACAAAAATGGAGTCAGGGCGATAAAAGAAAACCAATGAAACACAAAAAATTTTTTTTTGAATTTTTTGTCTGTCTGTCTGTCTGTCTGTTTGTTCGAGCACATCTTCGTAACTACTGAATGGATTTTTATGCGGTTTTCACTAATGAAGAATGCACACTCCCGGGCAGTGTATAGGCTTTGTTTCATCAAAATCGGACAACAGACAAAAAAGTCAGTCTAGGTAACAATATTTGGAAAATCACTTAACTACAAAAAAGTCAGTCTAGGTAACAATATTTGGAAAATCACTTAAAAATCCATTCAGTAGTTACGAAGATGTGCTCGAACAAACAGACAGACAGACAGACAAAAAATTCAATTTTTTTTTTGTGTTTCATTGGTTTTCTTTTATCGCCCTGACTCCATTTTTGTCAATTACTTCAATGTACAAACACACCGGGTCCTACTGTTTTATTATATGTATAGAAATAGAATAGATATAGATATTATTAGTTCAAGTATAAGTACTTAATGCACATATGAATTTACTAACAAACAAACAAACTAACTAACAAAAACTGGCCTTATTGCATTTTTATCATCAACATAAAGTTTTAAGCAAAAAGTTTTAACGATCACTTATCATTTCTAATTCGTATCCATCAATCGAAATATAGTTTCAAAATTAATTTTATATTTGTGCTTTTTAATAGGTAAAAAATCTCAAAAAAAATTTATTGATTATCGAAAATTTCAAGTAACAAATCATTTCTAATTCGTATCCATCAATCGAAATATAGTTTCAAAATTAATTTTATATTTGTGCTTTTTAATAGGTAAAAAATCTCAAAAAAAATTTATTGATTATCGAAAATTTCAAGTAACAAAAAGAAACAAAAGAAACTATTAGGTGCGCTGCTCACGTTTTTTAGTACATATAAAATCCAATAGATGTCACTGTGCGATTTTAAAACGCGGTAGGGTTATGTTTTCGCCAGTCTACTTAAGTATCACATCGCGGCTGACATACGTACTTAAAAGTTAAAAAAGGAAAAGAATTATTGGTGTGGATTTAGATTGTGGATTTAAATATAACAACTTACCTGCTACGAATACGGATATTTAGAGATTGCTTTGCGATTCGGATTACTTGGTTTAGAGGATATAAATAGGATTGTGTTTGTTTAACGTTTTTATTTGGCTTTCTTCTTCGAAATTTTTATTTTATTAAAAATAATAATAATAATAATAATAATACAATACTTAGAAAATGACCCGAAAAAGGTCTAATCTATCTACCTACACCAGAGCATCGAAAAGAATGAGAATGACTAGATCTCAAGAGTCTAATGAAGAGAGGCAAGAACGACTTAGGGCAAGTCGTGAACGTATGTCATTGCATCGCGCGTCAGAAACACCTGTTGAAAGGGATTCTCGATTGACGGCTGATTCTGAACGCCATAGATTGTCTCGCGTCTCAGAAACCTACACTCAAACAGAATATAGATTAAGTGCTGATCGTGAGCGCCATAGGTTATCTCGCGCATCAGAGACGTTCACAGAACGGGAAGTTCGTTTGACTGCTGATCGTGAACGCCATACAATATCGCGCGCATCAGAGACGTTCACAGAACAGGAACTTCGTTTAACTGCTGATCGTGAGCGCCACGAACTGTCTCGCGCTTCGGAAACATTTACTCAGTATGTTGACCGCTTAAGTAATGATCGAGAACGACACAGTATTGCTCGAGCTTTAGAAAGCGATGACCAACATCAACGACGATTAGAAGTAGCTAGAGAAAATTATGAACGCTTGCGTGAAACTCATAACACTTCACTAGAAATGGAAAGGGAGAGAGTAGATGCTTTACGGCGTGCAGAGACAGAAGAACAACGTGAGGACCGCTTACATGCTGATAGACTGCGACACGCACTGAGCAGGATGTCAGTTTCTTCTGAAGATTCTGATGATCCCGAAGAAACAGTAATGGGACATGAAATCCTTTCTTGGATAAATAAAGAAAAGAGTGCTTTCGTTTATACACACATGATAGATTATGCCTCATTTTCTTCCATCGGGGGAATGGTACTTCAGTGTCAGTTTTGCGATGCTATGAAGTGGCCAAAAGAGACAAGTGGAATGTGTTGCTCAAACGGAAAGGTGCATATTTCTATTTTTAATAACATTCCCGAGATTTTAAAAGCATTGTTGGATGGGGATCATCCACAATCACATCACTTTTTGGAAAATATTCGACAATATAATAGCGCCTTTCAAATGACGTCTTTTGGTGCTAATCAGGTAACGGAAGGATATTTCATGCCTACTTTTAAAATTCAGGGTCAAGTGTATCACCTAATAGGGTCTCTGTTACCCGAAAACGAGCCGAAGTTTCTACAAATTTATTTTGTTTCTGATTATCAAGAACAGGCAAATATAAGAAACCAAAACTTTCCACAACTGAATGGTAATCTTATAAGGATTCTTCAAAATATGCTGCACGAAGTAAATCCCTATATTCAAAGTTTCAAAACATCATTAGAGTCATTTCCTCCACAACAAAACAATGAATACAAATTTGTCATTTACGCAGATAAAAGACCCGCAGCTGAACACCGTGGCAGATACAATGCTCCTGTAGCAAACGAAGTTGCAGTGGTATTGTTAGATCAGGAATGTGAGCGTCGTGATATAGTCTTGCGAACTCGAGATGACCGATTGCAACGTATCTGCGAAACCCATCGGGCTTACGACACTTTGCAATATCCATTAATATTCTGCCGTGGTGAAGATGGGTACCATTTTGGCTTAAATCAAATCAACCCCATTACAAGACAGCCTAATTTAAATAAAACAGTATCAGCGCAACAATTTTATGCATATCTTCTGCAAATAAGACGCAACAATTTTATTTACTTGCAAAGATTTCGAGGTTTATTCAATCAGTTCATTGTAGATATGTATGCCAAAATTGAAACAGAACGCTTGGTGTACATACGCACCAATCAAAGACGCTTACGAGCAGAAGAATATGTGCATTTACGAGATGCCTTGCAGCAAGATGCAGATTCAGAAAATCTCGGTCGTTTGGTGATTCTTCCATCCAGCTTTACCGGCGGGCCACGTTATATGCACGAGCGTACGCAAGATGCTTTTTGCTATGTACGAAAGTATGGACGGCCGGATCTTTTCATTACATTTACTACGAATCCAAAATGGGATGAAATAAAACAAGAACTTTTGGCAGGTCAGGCCTCTTATGATCGGCACGATGTAGTCGCAAGAGTCTTTCACTTGAAATTAAAATTGTTGATGGACTTGCTGACTAAAGAGAATGTTTTTGGTTCTTCATTATGCTTCATGTACAGTGTCGAATGGCAAAAGCGCGGCCTTCCGCACGCACATATCCTTCTATGGCTGCAGGAAAAAATTCGTCCCAACAATGTAGACACGTTGATAAGCGCTGAATTCCCGAATCCCAACGAAGATCCAGTACTTTATGAAGTTGTCAAAACGCATATGGTGCATGGCCCCTGTGGTACCATAAATAGAAATTCTCCCTGCATGAAAGATGGACGTTGCACGAAAAGGTATCCCCGTGCGCTGACAGAGCACACAGTAACAGGCGAGAACGGATATCCGCTGTACCGACGTCGTTCTCCAGAGCTTGGAGGGTTTACTGCACAAAGTAGAGTACAAGGACAAGAAATAATAATTAGTAATATGTGGGTTGTTCCTTATTCGCCCTTACTTTCCAAAACCTTTGGTGCACATATAAATGTCGAAGTGTGTAATAGTGTATCGGCAATAAAATACATTTGTAAATATGTTAACAAAGGGAGTGACCAAGCGACATTTGCTCTACAGGGAACCGACCGAGATGAAGTCACCAGATACCAAACTGGACGCTACATAAGTACTTCTGAAGCTATATGGCGAATATTAGGATTTTCTATCCACGAACGTCATCCCACGGTCACACACTTGGATGTTCATTTAGAAAACGGCCAGCGAGTGTATTTTGATCCTGAAAATGTAAGAGAACGTGTAGAAAATCCTCGGCAAACTAAACTTTTGGCATTTTTTAAGCTTTGTCAAGAAGATGATTTTGCTAAAACGCTAACCTACGATGAAGTACCGTCCTATTACACTTTTGACATGCAAAGACGTGTTTTTAATCGACGAAGACGCGGTCAACCAGTGGAAGGATTTCCAGGAGTTTATAGAGATGCTGCACTAGGGCGAGTATATACTGTTCATCCTAACAATAGCGAATGCTATTATTTACGCATGTTGTTGCATACAGTTCGGGGGCCAACTTCTTTTGCCTATTTAAAAACAGTTAATGGCGTCCAATACGCAACATTTCAAGCGGCTTGCCGGGCACTTAATCTTCTTGAAGGAGATCAACACTGGGATAACACCCTCGAAGAAGCCTGTCAGTGATAGTCCCAAACGTTTACGTCATTTGTTTGCAGTGATGTTAGTGTTCTGTGGTCTATCGGATGCTCTAACGCTGTGGCAAAAATATAAGACACAATTATCCGAGGACTTTCT